GTCTGATCTCTTGACTGCTGTTTCTGCGAGTGTTGATAGTTGATCCAAGAAGAATGAAGTCCTTGGCAACTTCAATCTTTTTTCCGTGGATAAGAATGTTGTTTATTGGTCCAGTGGTGAGGATTTTTGTTTTCTTGACATTGAGATGTAATCCATATCGAAGCATCATAAAAATGGTTTTAATTAAAAATAACGGAATATGATTATAATCCAGTCTGCCTAGGCTTAAAATTCATACTTTTCTTTTTCCTCCAGATTACCAATAAACAGACCACATGGCCATCAGACATGAATTATGATATGGATTACATCAATATGCGAGAAACACATGGGTGTGCATTTACATGGTTCAGTATATTGAACTCTAAATTTGAACTCAAAAGAACCTATATGCTGGCTTGTCAAGATTAACTTCCTATAGCTTCTCTGGTAGCGTAGTAGTTACGAATCGGGCTGCAAATCTTAGGGTCAGCAGTTCGAAACTACCAACTGTTCCACAGGCGAAAGATGAGGCTTTCTGTTCCCGTAAAGATTTACAGCCTCGGAAACCCTGTACAGGGTCGCTATGGGTCGGTTCCGACTCCACAGCACATCACCACCATAGCTTCACACATTTTAGGAGCCCTGGTGGTGCTGTAGGATAGGCATTGGGCTACTAACTTCAGGAGAAAGATGAGGCTGTCTGCTACAATAAGATTTATAGTCTCAGAAACCCAGGGTTGCTATGAGTCAGAAGCCACTAGATGACAGTAAGTCTTTGTTGTTTGTTTGTTTGTTTATAACTTCAAACAGTTCCTCTTTCTACAACTAGTTCCATCCAAAATAAACATAAAGTCTTTCCCAACTTAAAACAAATAACACAAAGTTCCCAGATCCCTATATATCTACCCTAAAATCTGGCTTTTCTAGAACTCCTATCATCACTTGTATTTCATCATATTCCACAAGGCACATCTGGCTTTTCTATGAAAATGGCTCTTAACTAAGTACCTAAATGACATTCATATTGCTTAATCCTGCAAAATTGTTTCAGTACTCATCCTACTGAACTTGTTAACAATATTTGGTCCACTTAAACATTGTTTCCCAGTCCCTGCGACACTACCTTCTTCAGTCTGTTTCTCCTCTCAACTTGCCTGCTGATTCCCTCAGTCATATAATCTCTCTCTGTCTTCTCTTTGCACTCTGAACTCTTCCTTAAGCTTTCTTATCAGTTCCATGGCCTTACTCCATCTGTAGCTATCTGACATCACCTCTAGAGAAGAGTCTGAAAATTTCCATGGGACTGTCTCCCAAGCACTCAAGCTGAACTCACACACTACTCCACCAAATTGGCCTGCCTCCAGCGATCTCGGAGTCACTCAGTTCTCGGCCATCTGACCTTTCCCTCTTACATATCTACTTAAGAAAACTCAAGCAGGCTCATAGCTAAATATCCCTCTAGGAGAACAAATATAAATTAGTATATTTGGCTTTAACTCCTTTTTCCAACCTCTAGCTTTATGTCTTTAAATGCATCTTGGAGCTCTATGTGGAGTGTGCATCATCATCACTTGACATTCAACAGTATACATTACGATCAGATCCACACTGCATTAAATTATTCCTCCTGATTTCCTAATTGCTATTCATTGTCCCAACTAACTGACCTAGAGAATTAATGATGATCTTGTTTAAGGGCACATACATGACTATTCCTTTACTTGTACCCAGTTTTAGCCTCATTCAATTTTGAACTCACTCAGTTTTGAGCTCTTCAAGAAAACCAAATACTCCACAGCACATATCTGATACAACTCTTGGGTTGAAAACAAACGTCCATCCTGGTTACTGTATCTGTTTATTGCTATTTGATCTAATAGAAACATCACTTAAACATTTCATCGCTGCATAAAAAATTGAAAATGTGCTAGGGCTATAACATTTATCCAATTCTTCCCACTTAGCTTATTATTCTGAAACCGGGTTTCTAAATAGTCTCACCTCACCACCCCACACCCTAAAGCTTCCTGGCCAATCTATCTGTATCTCTATTGTTTTATTTCCTCTCCACCCAACTTCTGAGTGAATGCTAAACTAATTTAAATTGTTACAGCAGGGCAGAGAATAGTTTGACTAAAAAACCAAAGCATAGTGGATAGCTTCTGTGTATTAAGATGGCTTATAAAGACATCAACTATTATAAAAACAGACCTCTGAGATTTGAAGCACCCTTTGGGGTGGAATCCTTGTTTAAAGGCTAAACTACAGATATTCTATACTCATGTAAAACCTTTTTGTTGCTCTTCTATCAAATGGATGAGTATAAAGGTAATTACTATATCTCACTAATGGCATAATCTACTCTCCTACTGTCACTAAGGGAAGTACAGTATTTAAATGTATACTTTTCATCCTATAGTAGAGAAGCGTCTTCTTCCCCTTATGAGTACTTCTTGTAGATAAATGTCTCCATTTTTAATATCTGATTAAACATTCCAAGTAAACAAAAACTAATGATCATTACGTACAAAATGAATTACATTTTGACACAGTCAACTTTTCTCCATGCTTGCTCTTCACTCTCTCCACATATCCCTAATTGTATTACTATTGTTCCATTTAGTGTGTTGGCTGAGCAGTGAAATTTATTAAAATTCAATTTTCCAACAGACTGATATATACTGCTTCGGAAGGCAAGAAGAAATATAATTTTGAGAAAAATTCAGAGGAACTGGAACAACAAAATGTTAAGCAACCACAGTCAAAGAAACCCACTTTGACTAAATTAGCCTCACATCAATGTTATAGAGGACACTTTTCATATCCTCAACACAATCAAGACAGTTTTTAGGACATGAGTTAGTCTATATGGGACTTTGCTCATCTAGAATCTAATAGTCTGTCACAAGTATGAGTGTATGGGAGAGGAGAAGAAAAGGAGAGACGAGAACTAAATCTCATCCGCATACTCTTAATTTTTTCTCTTCTGTCATATGTTACTTAAAAAGCTGTATTCAGACATAGTAGTAAAAGCAAGCAAATAATGGAAATGCTTATAAAGATTTCATAAACTATTTAAAGCTGGATTCATATGCAAATGCTAACATTCTCTAACAATAAAATGAGTAAACATTAAGTGACTATTAGGAGGTTAAGGATAGAGTAAGTAAATTCAAATGTATAAACCACTTGCATTATTTCACCCAATCACCTAGAAGCCAAGATCTTCTAAAGAAAATTGCATTGCCTTCCCAGTTCCTTGGAGAGACAGTTTAGTTAACAGCCTACCTATGCTTTTGAGATGACCATACAGCTTACATGTCAAACTCATTTTAAAGCGTCAATCATGTCCCTTTCAATCTAATTAGTTTAGAAAGTAGTGTCATTGACCTGGAACAGTGCAGACCATTTATTATCATACTATTTGATCAACCTAACACTTTACCTCAGTTGAGTTTGAGACACCAGTAACCAAAATGTAATATTCTTTCTCCTACTCATTACTGGTAACTCTCAATTCAATTTCCTATTTATAACTCAGTTGATCTCTGTGAATAAGCAAGGCCAGCTTCCCAGAGGCATCTCACAGAATTTCCCTATTTAAGATTCCATGACAATTAAAATAAAAAGGTAAAAGGATTAAAGAAAAAATATCTACCTATACATATAAATCAGATTTGAGGTTTTAAATGTTCAGAACTGTTGAAGAGTGGGGAACAAAGAAAGGCAACATAACATGCTAGTGAAAATTGGGCATCTTAAGTCTGAGCGGGAACTTTTCTTTTGAAACATAATACTGGCAGCAAACCACATAAAAGGAGGCTATAGACTGTCCTTACACAGGTATGTTTTAGAATAAAGAACAATTTGGTCACATTCACAGTATTTGAACTTCCACTAGGCCAAGGACTAGGTTACTTTAGCAGATATAATCACAAGCTCCCTGAGCTCCAAGATCACAGCCAGGTATCTCTAGGGAAGGAGCTAATGGACAGACCACAGTGAGTCTGGAACTTAGAATCCAGGCCCTGATACCCTGATGTTATGACAGGGGGTAGAGCTGGTGGGGGTGGGAGAGGACTGACCACAAAATGATTGGAAGACGCTGGTTAGTCTAGCATCATTGTCCACCTGGCCCACCCCATGGCAAGCACATGAACTCTATTTGCTCTAATTCAAACAAATACTTTTCCAGCCTTAACTGTTCATATTGAAGAACTGATTTGTAAGGCAAAACCTAACTCTGAACCATAGAACATCAAACTACATCAGGGAAGGAAAAAATACTGACGCACCAACACTCATGGATGTCCAAAAAATGTTGGCTACATACTTTTTAGTGTAGCATTAAAAAAAGAAATAATAGCCATTATATTAAAAGCAACCACTTTTCACTCCAGAAAATGATAGTTAAAACAGGGATGTCCATTGTCATTGTGCTTTCTATCTTATGTTTTCCTTTGAGTAAATCCAATTTCATTTTACCAAAATTCCCCACTGGTATTTATTTACCTCATCAAATAATTACTAGTGACTATGATTTTACTTCTTGTCAAATTAAAGAGGTACAGAAAACAAGCTTACCTTCTGGTGAGGAGCCTGTTTTTTGAGAAAAGACAGCATGGACTTTACTCTTCTTATTGATGTCATTGTTTACAGACAAACTGGACTGAATTTTTCTATGCATTTTTTGAGACACTGGTGAGGAAAGTTTTTGATTGTCTGCACATGCGTGTTTCACACCATGGTGAATTCCATTTCCATTGCTCAGGTTCGCGTGGCTGTTTTTTATCTTGCCTGTTTCCTCCTCACTCGATTCCTGTGCTGAAGTTTGAAGCTGAGGCAACCGCTGAGGTTGGGCTAAATTGAAAGACAAGAAAAATATAACTAGTTAAATACATTCAGTAACAGGTTTCTAGTTTTTTTTTTTTTTTTTTTTTGCTGTTATTTTAACCATGATACTAAAAATAAAGAAGAAAATACAGTTGAAACCTTTGAAAGCTGGAATATGTACAAGGTAAAAACACATCAGAAGGAAAAGTCAAATATCTTCTACTAAAAGGAACAACAGAACATTGTTAAGACTACACCCTGTCAAAGGCGGAAAACTCCCGAGTTGCGGAAAAACAAGACAGTCCCTTCGAGTCCCCCTTCTCACAGGTGTCATCGTACTAACAGATAAAGACATTGTTGTTAGATACTGTAGAGTCCACTCTGATTCACAACAACTTCAAAGGCAGAGCATAAATGCCCTAAAGGGTTTTCTAGGCTGTAATCTTTCTGTTTTGTTTTTATAACTGTTTATTGTGAATTCAGTGACAGTTCATAGAGCTGATCCATTTTCCATATAACAATTTATACACATTTTATGTCATCTCTTTGACTGCAATCCTCACAATTATCCCACTTTGTCCCTGTGGTGCCTGTTTCCATTCCTCCTTCTGAAATGTGTCCTTGGATGTTAAATAGTTGATTATTCTAAGGTGCATGTACCTCCCTATTGTTACTGATCCCCTGACCAGGCCTGAACGATAAATAAGGGCCATAGTCTCAGGGGCTTCACCAATCTATTCAAGCAGGAAGCCTGGTCATTTTCATGCTTTTGAGTTTTATTCCACATTTCTCTTCCACTCTATCCAGGGCATTCTAATGATTCCTTTGGTAGTAGTATAGGCTTTAATCAAATGGGAGTAGATCACTAGAGCTTTCTCCCATGAAGCTGCTGGGGGACTCTAAACCACTGACCTTTAGGTTAAGCAACTGAGCAGCTAACTGTTGCGCCATCAGGGAGCTTTGATATGGGCATCCTTGGTACTGGTTAGTGCCTTTCCACTCACAGTGACCCTGGACAGGGTTTCCAAGGGACAGCTGTTGGATTTGAACCAATGCCCATGTGGTTCGCAGTCCACTACTGATTCTACAGCACCATACATAGACAAATCATACTTAATAATTATTGTTGTTGCTGTTAAGTGCCACCGAGTCAATTCTGACCCACAATGACCCTGCATAAGGTTTCCGAGGAGCGGCTGTTGTGCTTGAACCACCAATCACGCAGATCAAACTGTCTTTGCAGTCCAGTGCTTTAACACACAGCGTCACACCAGAACTCCACATTTAATAATTACAAATCAGAAAAAAAAAAAAAAAAAAAAATGAAAACAGGATTGTCAAAGGTGTACACAAGGATATAACAGTAAGAGATGAATTCTTTTTTAAATAAATTGCAAATCTGAAAAAGTAATTCAACACTCCTACAGCAGGTATTGTTTGCTTTCTTTGTGCCTAGCCCTCTTCTGGGTGCTATAAACACATTGGTGTTACTTCTGTAATTGACAAGGCAAATTACTTGAATTTTGAAATCATTTAAGATAAAAAGAAAGGAACATTGAATTCAGGTATTCAAACCTTGACAACATAAAGAAGAATACACTTTAAAAAATAATTCCATCTTAAATCCTTGAAAAGGAAATATTTTCTATGTTAATTCTTGAACTTGGTTTTAAAATAACCAATTTGTAGAAAGTTGGGAATTCAAGGGAATTTTTTAAACCTGATTTCTTCTTAAATGTAGCTACCACAATTGTTTTGGCTGTTAAGTGCCAACTCATAGCAACCCATACAGGGTTTCTGAGGAGTTGCTAGTGGATGTGAACCCAAGACATTGTGATCAGCAGTGCAGTATTTGTCCTACAGAGCCATACCAAGACTCTAGGCACCACAATTAAACACCCACATTTTAGAAGTACCCCAATTTTAGTGAGGACCAAAGACTTCATTTTGCTTGAATCAACCATCAATACTCATGGAAGCAGCAGTCAGGAAATCAAAAGACATGCTGCATTAGGCATATCTGCTGCACAAGACCTCTTTAAAGAGTTGAAGAAAAAAGATGTCAGCTTGACCCTGACCCAAACCATGGTATTCTCAATAACTGCATATGCCTAAAAGAGTTGATAAGTAAAGACGATCACAGAATTGATGCATTTGAGTTATGGTGCTGGAGAATATTAAAAGTACCACGGACTGCCAAGGGAATGAACAAATTTGTATTAGAAGAAGTGCAGCCATAATGTTCCATAGAAGCCAGAATGGACAGACTTCATCTTTCATACTTCAGACATATTATCAGGCGGCACCAGTCCCTGGAGAAGGACATCATGCTTGGTAAAGTGGAGGGTCAGCGATAAAGAGGAAGACCCCAACAAGATGAATTGGCACAGTGGCAGCAGGTACGGGCTCGAGCGTAGCAATAATTATGAGGCTGGTACAGGACCAGGCAGTGTTTTGTTCTTTTGTGCAAAAGGTCCCTGTGTGTCAACACCAACTCAATGGCACAACAACAAGAAATGAAGGCCTGCCTTCACCCTTATTATGTAATGCTACATTAGAGGTCCTGGAGAAAAGAATAAACAAGAAAAAAAAAAAAACCCCAAAAAAAACAGATCTGAATCTTAGAAAGAAAAGAAAGGAAATTTTTGCGACGTGCTCATGACTTAAATACTCTGGAGAAAAATCTAAGTGATGGTAAATTCTGGAAATCTATTAATTCAGAAAAAGTAATACAGGATCAGTTATAAAAATCAACAGAGTTACTATATGTAAAAAGTAAACAATTAGCAAATATACAAGAAAAATTACTATTCACAGTAGCAAAAATGAACAACAAAAGAGAAAAACAAAACAAAACAACAACAAAAAAACCCAAACTCTATATTAAGAATTAGGATAGTGATATTAGGAATTAAGGTAGGAAAAAAGCAAGCCGAGATTTTATAGCAAAAATTGAAAAAACGTAAAACATAAAAAGAAAGCCAAAACGAATGGAAACAGTGTAAACATGTTAACTAACCCCAATTTACATAGTGAATGAAGGCGCCCTCACCACGCAGTTTGTTAAGGACTGGGCTGCTAATCTCAAGGTTGCTGGAATTCACCAGTTACTCTGCAGGAGAGAAGTGAAGCCCTTGGTTTCTGTAAGGATTTACAGGCTCGGGAACCCTAGGGGATTCTTCTACTCTGACCTATAGGGGCACCGTGAGTCAAAATCACTTCAAAGAC